CCCCCCCCCCCCCCCCCCCCCCCCCGAGGCTAAACTGACTCTACGCCGCAGTTCAGTTCCTGCACAAGGCAGACTTCGTTACCATACTTGAATCGGGGATGATCAAGTATAACCAAGTCAAGTTTGACTCTATTGACGAAGGAATGAGGAGTATGATACGACGGAATGCGAAAGAGACATCCATAGACACGCGGCCAAACGTCGACTCCGAAGCCGAGATCGGCCAATTGCGTTTGCACGAGGCAACAACCAGAAACCCGGGAGATGCCGATCTCACTCGTCAGACCGGAGATTTCAGTCTTTATATGTTCTACCTGCGGTCGATAGGACCTGTCTTCGCTTTGGCATTAGCCATCCTGGCGACTTTATTTACCATCTTTAGAAAGATGCCGCGTTTGTGAACTGCCGTCGTCACTGGACTCTGACTATTAAACGCTAACGAGAGTCATAGAAATATGGCTCCGGATATGGACCCAGCACGGAATAGACGAGGACCGGGGCTACTTTCTGGGCGTGTACCTTATGTTCGCCGTGGCCTGTTTTGCGTCAATCTGGATGCTCTCCAGGTACGTGTGGTCTGCATCCCTAATGAGAATACCCATGCCAATGAAGGGTACCACAGGTTCTTCCTCATCCACGTTATCAGAAGATCCTCGCAACACCTGCATTGGCTGTTGCTTGAGGCGGTGATGAAGTGAGCAAAACCTGTTCTTTCCGTTGTAACCATTCGATCTCGGGCACTGACGATGCCGCGCGAGCAGCGCACCCCTTCATTTTTTCACTTCAACCGATAGCGGCGTCACTTTGAATCGGTGAGTTGAGATCTCGGAACTTATCAAATGCTTGGCCCCTTTGCCTGCTAACGCTCTTCCTCCCCATGCATAGCTTCAGCCAGGACATGACGATCATAGACCAGACGTTGCCTGCCAGTTCCTTCAACGCACTGCGAGGTTGAATCCCACAACCCTTCTATAGGTTTCATCCTACTGACAGCGGGGTAGATACATTCAACATCGTCGCCGAGATAGCCATCATTGCATCCGGTGCGCGGTATGTTGTGGCCATCATTCCTTTCTGCATGGTCGCGCTCTATTTTCTCCAGGCGTTCTACCTGCGCACATCGCGGCAGATTCGCCATCTCGATCTCGAAGCGAAGTCGCCCCTGTATGTTCACTTCTCCGAGACGCTCAGCGGGCTCGTCACCATCCGGGCCATGGGGTGGAAGCGGGAGTTTATGGAGAAGAATAGCGAGCGGCTGAACAAGTCTCAGACGCCATTTTATCTTCTCTATTCCGTCCAGCGATGGCTGAATGTGGTTTTGGACTTTTTCGTCTGTTTCATCGCCACCATTCTCGTCGCTTTTGCGGTGTTGATGCGCCATTCGACGTCGGAAGCCGCCATCGGCCTCGCCATGGTTAACGTCATCAGCTTCAACAACACACTTGCTTTTCTCATCAACTCGTGGACAAACTTGGAGAGCTGTTTGGGAGCCGTCGCGCGGCTACGCAGCTTTCTAAAGGAGACTCCCAAGGAGGCCCTCGAAGCTGAGCGCCACGACCCACCGCGTGGATGGCCTACCAGGGGCGACATCGAATTCATCAACGTCACGTCGAGTTATAGGTATGGCTTGCTCATATTCCTTGTGAGATTCCGGATATTTTTAACATGGATTCGCCTAGCCATAAACTCACTCCTACAATCAAAAACGTATCCCTGACCGTCAAGGCTGGGCAGAAAGTTGCCATATGTGGCCGGACTGGAAGGTAGGGTTACGTCCTCCTTATGCAAGCGAAACGGGCAACCTAACAAGCCGCAGTGGCAAATCATCCCTGATTCTTACTCTCCTCCGTCTCTTGGACCTCAGGTCAGGTTCCCTACGCATCGACGGGATGGACCTCGCCGTCTTCAGGCGGGAGGCCATTCGATCTCGCATCAGTACGCTGCCCCAGGAGCCCGTCATACTGCCTGGGACAGTGAGAGAGAACCTTTACCCGGCTGACAAGGTATTTTCGGATACGGACCTCATAACGGCCCTGGAAAAGACAGGTATGTGGGAAGCCATCAGCGCCCGAGGGGGGCTCGGTGTCGAGCTGGACACAATGGGTCTATCGATGGGCCAGAAACAGCTCTTCTGCCTCTCTCGTGCCATTCTCCATAAGACAAAGATACTGCTGTTGGACGAAGCAACGAGCAGCTTGGATCACGATACGGGGGAGAAACTGCGGCGAGTGATACAAGCCGAGTTTGCCGGCTGCACCGTCCTCGAGGTTACCCACAAGATGGAAGCGATTACCTCGTATGATGCGGTTGTCGTCATGCAAGATGGGGAGATTACCCACATGGGAGACCCTCGAGAGCTACTGCAGAGTGAGTTGAGCGGGTCAACATGAATTGCAGGGTCACTCGATGGACAGCTTGACATTCACAAGGTGAACTCGGATTTGGGCTTGACACAAGTTCCTCTGGTAGAGACATTAGAGATGGGTCACAGCATCTTGTTCTGTACAGGACTATCTTATTGAAGGTCTTAAGGCACCTCTGATGTAGATCCATAAATAGTTGCTAGTTAAAAAGCTAACTATAATAAATACTTAATTTCCCTATTATTTTAGCTTATAATAATTCTCCTTGGTATAAACAGCTACGTTGCACTTATCATAACCCCAGGAAGTTATACTGCCGCCCCAAGCGCGATTTCCATTAACCCGCTGCAGCACCCGGCTTCGCGACTGTATTTCCCTAATTCTTACGCCCGAACAGCTAAGGCGAGGATGCAGGTGAGCCCGACGATATATTTTACAAGGGGCAATCTCATTTTTACAAGGATGTTCATCTTTTCGTGGATGCGCTTGAGGATCATGTAACTAGGGAAAAAAAGCGTGATTTTGGCAACGACCTATTGGCCAAAAATGGTATTTCAGGCAGCCCTACATGACCTTGGCTTGGAAACCTACCTAACTAAGTAGGTGATTCAAATTTCATAGCCCATTTCGGCTGCAACTAGGCGGTAGTTGGACTACGGTATTGGCCTCACAAGAAAGACCTCTCTAGGCAACCATGAGCGCGCCCTTGGACCTTTTGTTCTTGCCACTATCGCAGGCACGGGACCACGGTAAGCCGTCTGGCGGCGAACCAATAGAATCGAGATGTCTATTTCACAAGGCGCCGGAGAATCAAGCGGTGTACTTTGTATCATATGCATTAAGTAATGGACATGCGCCTGCGAGGTGATATGGGCAGCTATCTCGGCATTTGGCATGCGGCACAGCGCGCACTACTTCCTAGGACTAAGTCCTGTAAGTTAACAGTCAGTTTCGCTTATTATTATGGATATACCCCCCAGAAGGGAGCCGAGGGGCGGGGGTCTCTAGGCTGATTTGCTGTACTCGTATTACGTAACCCCTAGACTGATCGGATGGGTTATCCAAGGTTAGGTTCGATTCCTAACAGCGCTACTTGGTTTAGTCGCGGTGGCTCATTTCAGACCAGCACATTGTATCCCTTTGAGTGCCATAAGGCACCACCTAAGTACCATATCCACTTTTCTCCTATGTTGAGGGGAGAATCTTCAATTTCTGACCCTTTGATTGGCTATAGTTTTTACGAGTACTTAGGTGGTGCCTTATGGCACTTAATGGGATTAATGGAAAGTACCCCTGACATTATCTGGCCCCTCTATATAAAAGTTCCCTAGCCAATTAGCTAGCGATTAGCATAGGGCAGGTTAACTTTACGCGAGGCCCACATCGGCAATTTTGGTATGGAGGGGTTAGATGATGACAGGGGCGTGGGATCGTACGAGCATACATACCTAACCTCTCCACAACCACAGTCGAGCTCGTGATACCTTTTAGCTGTACCCTCTAGGATGAGTACACGTGTCCGTAGATGAAGCTATGTAGCGTATTGCCCGAGGAACGAGCGAGGGGAAGAGCAATTACTTCACCGCTCTACATATTTATATTGCCGTCTTGATGTTGAGTACTTGCCCTGTTGATAGTCAAAGTGTATGCACATTCCCAGACAATTTTGACAATGGATAAAGTCTTCGACTTTATCGTGTGCGGGTAACTCGAGTCCACTCCGCTAAGCTGGGATATGGGTTGCTAAACGTCAACAGAGGTGGCGCGAGCGGCTGCGTCGTCGCTGCACGGCTTGCTCAATGCCCGGGCGTAAAGGTGCTTCTCATCGAAGCCGGGTCAAACTGCGAGGACCTTGAGGACTCGCAAATGGCCGGAGGGTAATTTGTCCCAATCCCCTCTCCTTGTGTTGCCTTGTTGCTTAGCCACCATGCAGGTGGAACTCCCTATTTGGCGGATCGACCGACTGGGGTTTCGAGTCACCTCCGTCGGCGGCCCTGGACGACCGACGCTTGCAACTACATCGTGGAAAGTTCATAGGCGGCAGCACGGGGCTTAACGGGACCCTCTGCATTCGGGGCGCTAGGGCGGACTATGACAACTGGGGCATAGAGGGCTGGAGCGGCGATGACTTTTTCCAATACATGATGAAGGTGCTGCGAATGCCACTCGCTCTCGCTGTTTTCTTTCGGGGGAAAAGCCACGCTAACTGTACAAAAGTCTGAGAAGTTTCACCCAAAGCCCTGGTTTGATGCCGACACGCAAGGTCATGGCGACAGCGGGCCGCTCCACACGGAACCCCGAGAGCTGGCTCCCATATCGGAACTCATCCTGCAATCGTTCCAGTCCGAAGGCCTCCCTTATGACGCGGACATTTTCACGCACGGTCGTAACCCTCAAGGGAGTGGTCATATCACGAGGACACACTGGCAAGGCTATCGATCGACTAGTGCCTCGTTCATAACCATGGTCCGGGATGGCAATCAACTCGAGGTCGTCACAAACACCGTCGTGGACCGAGTGGTCCTGGAGCAATCTCCAGACGGATTAAGAGCGGTAGCAGTCGACGTGATCAACAGTGACTCGTCTAGGTCGCGCTTCAAGGCCACACGAGAAGTTATCCTTAGCGCCGGCAGTTACTGCAGCCCTGCTATCCTGCTCCGATCGGGGCTTGGCGCACGTGCTGACCTAGACCAACTCGGAATTCCTTGTCAAATTGACCTTGTGGGCGTCGGCAAGAATCTACTCGATCATCTCGTAAGCACGCTAGGCAGCCAACTCCAGCTTTTAGGCTACATGTGTCTGACTCAAACGGGGGGGCGCGTGGAGATAGATCGTGTTCATGTTTTACGAGACCGATAAAGAAGGCCTCACCATCGACCATCTCATTCATCGGAAAGAGGCGTACAGCGAAGCGTTGAAGCTATGGCGCGATCACAAGAGCGGCTTTCTCGCCTCGTCTCCTTTCGGTGTCGGCGCATATGCCCGTCTGGATGAACGCCTCAAACAAGATCCGCAGTGGACTGGCGCAGCCCGGGAAGCTGGCAAGGACCCGATGGGCCTGACCGCTGATCAGCCAAACATTGAATTCTTCACCACCGAATGCTATGGGGGTCTGAAACGATTTGCGCATCTCCCCGAGGGAAAGTCGGTCTTTGGTATCGTCGCGGAGCTCTTCTCGCCCCGATCCCAGGGGACAGTGACGATTACCTCGGCCGACGCCACGGCTCTTCCTGTCGTGGACCATAACTACCTCGCAGAGCCTCTCGATGTCTTGGTGCTGTCTGAGGCTTGTTCGTTTGCCAATGAGATCATCACAAAAGGGAAAGGCACTTCGGCCATCGTCAAGGGCTCCTGGCCGGAAGAATCGCTTCACCATACGTATACAAGCCGCGAAGCTTGGACCCAGTATGTCCGGGAGAACGCAACCTCAGGTTCGTCGCATTTCGCATTTCTTTTCTTCCCGTGTTTTCCATTTGCCCAGTTCTAGCCAAAAAAAAAAATTGAAAACTAACCACATATGCAGGATTTCACGCCGGTGGAACTTGTAAGATGGGCAATATAAATGATGATCCATTAGCAGTCGTTGATAGCGAGCTTCGTGTCAAGGGGGTTAAAAACCTCCGAGTGGCTGACTGCAGTATTATGCCGACTTTAAACAGCGGCCACACGCAATTGCCTGCGTATGGCATAGGGGAAAAAGCCGCAGATTTGATTAAGAAAGAAATCGTTTGATAATAAAGCTATTCTCTATTGCTATTATAGATACTTTGTAGACATCCTAGCTTTTCTTCTATTTCATACTCAAAAATAAACAGCACTCTGTCTCATGCCATGGCGGTATAGTTGGCGAGAAATAATGAACAGCAGGCCTAGAAGGCCGACCTTGCCGAATACGTTTGATGACACGAGAGGGATGACTGTAATGGAACTGGCTGAGGGCCTGCCCGATGCAAGAGACACGCTGACGACAGAGGAGGACGCAGATGCGCCTCAATTGTTTATGGCTATGCCTGTAGGCTTCAAGTTGGTTTTCCCGAATATTTCGCTGCCGGCGCGCTGGTGCGGCCCTAAGCCTCCCACACGCGGCTCGTGACCCTCTGTCTGTGTCTGTCGCTGTAATCCTCCTCACTCGTCAGAGGCAGCCAGAGGCCCCTGACATATATCTCAAACGGGAGATGGAGAGATCGGAGCAGCCCCAATCTCATGAATACTCTAGAGCGACGATTCTGGTAAACTCTATACGCGAGAGCAGGTCTATATCACTCCAATTAAGCCACCCGACTCGGCTTTAGAGTAGTAGCTGAGTATGGGACCAACATCGTCGACCTAAGATCCTAGAGTGGTAATATAGGTTCTCTAGCGACGTGGGACTATGGTGAAAGCAAATATTGCTGTAATAGATGATAGAAGCTATCAAGTCGTTAGATCCGTCTCGGGGAATTTTGGCCAAGACACATAAACGTACTGCGGAAACAGCAAAAGGGAGGCCTAGAAAAGCTTTATCCCCTGTCAAGCCAATCGAATAAAACGCTGCCATTGTGGGCCTGCCCAACATGACGCTTAGAATATCCAAAATCCCGACCATGGTAAATGCTTTGGCTTTAATGTCTTTCTCGGTTGAAAATGCAACGAGTGCCAAATATGCAGGCTCTACCCCTTCGCCTATCGCGCAGCACAAAAGGCCTTGAAATTATATCAGCACAAAAGCTTGAAGAAACGCAAGGCGGTCGGGGGGGGATCAGCACCTGCAAGAAACGAGACGGGTTCTGTTGCAACTGCAATGCAGAGATATCCTATTGAAGAACAACACAGACAGGCCTGGATGATTCGCAAATTGAGAGCTCTTTGTGCCGTAATTGGTCTATGTTGCGTCTTCACAACGACGATGGGAAAGAGAATTCCAGTTGTGAGAAGTGTGACGCCATATTTGATCGACAGTAGCGTAGTGGTGTGATGAAACTCCCAGTGCAGTTTCTCAGAGGCATATTGTGGGAGAATCAATGTGTTTGAGATGGTAAAAGAATGCATGATGCTTACGAAAAGAATTGCTGACAGTTGCCGCTGATGCGAGAATATGCCCAGACTCTGTCGGATCAGTTGTAAGATGGACGCGGCGGCGTCTTGGAGGACCGTATTGCCACTAGTTGTTGGTGGCTCCGTCGGGACGAGCAGCATTGGAGATTCACCTGGCCGTTGATCCGCTGTGCTTTGCTGGATCAACCGAGCTCGCTCAGCATGAAACGCGGCACGTGGAGGCGGCGTCAATGTTTCGGGAAGAAGTAGCATAACCGGGAAGCAAATCGAATTTAAAAGCAACGCCAGCTGGAATGGAGTCCAGAGATTAAAGGTCATGAGAAACCCGCTCATGAGGGGAGAGAACGTAGAAGAGAGCATCTTGATTCCGCTGAGGGTGTATAATCCGCCAGAGCTGTGTGTGTTCCCCGTGGACGTTAGCATTCCCTGGGGTTAGAGAAAAGCGACTGGACTATCTCACATTCCAGCTGAGAGGCCCTCGCTCAACATCGTATATAGCATGGACATGAATACTTTGTGCCCCCCGCCGATCATAAGAAATACCGAGGCCGTCCAGACCAGGCGAGTTGGCATGATGTTCCTATTGTAGCCTGGGCCACTGAAGATTAGCTGAGCCACGAGGACGAGAGAGACAGCAGGAGTAATACAAACAAACAGGATCCACAAAAGGTGCAGATATAGACCGGCGAAGGAAAGAATAATGATGGGCTTTCGGCCCTTCTTGTCCGCGAGAGAGCCGTAAATCAAGGCCGTGAGAAGACCTAGCACAAAGGTCAGACTGAAGCTGGTCTGCTCCATTGAGCGGACGAGTCAAGTTACCAGATAATGAGTCAAAGCTCCCTTTGAACCCATTGATAATAGCCACCTCGCGCTGCACCGCCGGAGACTTGCAAAAAGGAGGAGAATCGACCATAAGAAGGAGGCTATCGCGCCGAGCCTCGCGCCAACAGACTGTCCTCTCGAGCAACTGTATGAGAGGAACATCAAGGAGGAATCCCGAGAAGCAGTCAAGGAAGACGAGCAAATAAATCAACATATATAATCTCGTGCGGCGGCGTCCGCCAGCATGCGCATAACCAGCAAAATCGACCGGCGTCGTAGATGGCGGACTGCCTTGCAGCAGCGGGCTCGATTCAGGCTCCATACTTGGATGATGGATCTTGGACCAGAGGTTTGCTGCTACTCGTGCATGGTAAGAAGAACAGCGCCGCCCATCACATGCAATTTTATATGGTAGACCGGCGGTGTTTTGTTCACCCCACATGCTACTTTGATGGAGACAAATACTGATTCAGCTGTCAAGGCTCGTGCGGATAAACCGGCTAAAGGCACAACTCACCTGGCGGTCAGCATTGTGCAATCACAGTCTGATAGCTACGCCCATCGGCCGGATCAAATGCAACTCTAGGCTGACACGCTTCATCCTACCCAAGGATGGGCCAATCAAGCAGAGCGCTGAAGCGCGCAATAATACATTGCGAGATACTAGTTATCAAAATAAATAGCTAGGCGTGATAACCCTTTACTCCAAAGCATGGGGTACATATATATCAATACCTTTGAACCCCTCCCCCCCCCCCTCCCCCAGTTGTTCAATGGCTCGGTTCCAGAGGTGACAGGATTGCAGACCTATGATTGCCTTTACTTGGTTCTCTCTCCAAAGAAAAAAAAGCCCCAAGAATCAATAGTCTCGACCTGGTTCTACGGCTCAACGGGCCCGATTTGCTGCGAGGAATATCCCGAATCGGCCTCTCTCCAACCACCCACCAAACACGCCAAACATGCGCTGGCTTTACACTGCGGCCGGTCTTTTGCTGGGTGCCGACATTAACGTGCATTCCCGTCCCACTACAGTCACAAAGGTCGCCGCAGAATATTCAACCATTTCGCAGTTTATCATTTCCAGTCTCCCGTCACGCTTGGGAGCGCTTGGGATTGGCGAGCCACGGGTTCGGTTGGGTCACCAGGTGACGCCAAGAGTTCTTATAATCAGCTTGGTAGGTGAAGATGCTGATTATAGATGAGCAGTGAATCATCTCGTCATGAGCTTCACGCCTCTTAGACCATGCTGTTAACTATGGGGTTGCTGGGTGCTGCAGTTTGGTCCGGAAGCCGACGTATGGTACGAAAACTTGCCCAAGAGCGGCCTGGGAGACCTCCTCGCGACGAACATCTCTGTCCCAGGCCTTAATCCTCTCTACCCAGCTGTTCATTGCACAGCTGAAGGCACCATCTGCCAGGTCACGACCGGAGAGTCCGAGATCAACGCGGCCGCTACAATTAACTCAGTGGTGCTGTCGGGAATGTTTGATCTTCGAAAGACATACTTCTTGATTGCAGGAATTGCCGGCGTGAACCCCAAGCATGGCACGCTGGGAAGTGTGGCCATTGCTAAGTATGCGGTTCAGGTTGCTCTGCAGTATGAACTCGACGCCCGAGAGATGCCACCCGACTGGACCACGGGCTACTTTTCATACGGAACGCTTAGTCCTGGTCAATACCCAACCAGGCTGTACGGAACCGAAGTATTCGAAGTGAACGAGGCTCTTCGAGATGCGGCATATGGCTACGCCTCCGAGGTCAGGCTAGAGGACTCTGCCAACGCGAGGGCTTATCGAAAGAAGTATGCTGCCGCAGGGCCTTCGTACGCCATGGCCACAAGACCCCCCTCAGTTATCAAATGCGATTCTGCAACGAGCGACGTATACTATACGGGTCACTTGCTGAGTGAGACCTTTGAGAATGTGACCAGGTTACTAACCAATGGGTCTGGAACGTACTGTGTGACGGCCCAGGAAGAAAACGCAATCCTAGGGGTTTTGGTCCGCCTTGATATCTGGGGTTTGGTAGACTACGGCAGAGCAATCATCATGCGGACAGGTGAGTCCTGGCCTGTTATAGGTTATTTGTCAAGGCTAATGGGAAGAAAAAGGTTCCAACTTTGACCGTCCGGCGCCTGGCGTTGACGTCCTCGACAACCTACGCGCCGCCGAACAGAATGGCATCACTTTAGCCACCACAAACCTCTACCTGGCCGGAGTATCAATCGTGCGGGGATTACTCAACGAGTGGGATGGTATCTTCCAGAAAGGCATCGCGGCGCCAAACTATCTCGGCGATATATTTGGTACCCTAGGCGGGCAGCCCGACTTTGGGCCGGGTGGTGTCGACGGAGCAGGGCTATGATCTCAGAAAGGCGGCTGTAGATAAGGAGAGCAGTGACATATATTTTTTTCCCAAGGTCAAACGATATGCGTTGTTCCTCTCCGCAACTGATATTGTCGCCCCGACGAGGAGGCACTGGCCTAATCCTGCCACTTATGTTATCGTAGCATTGCTATGGTGGTGCTGGATGCTATTTGCCCTGATAACCCCGAGCTTTCTCTCTGCTCCTCTTCAAGTCTATCCGTCAAGCCGGTGCTGCTCCCGCCTGAACTGCGTTGATACCCGCACGGGCGATACGTCGGTCGTCATCAAAAGACAATGTAGAGTCGACCTGGTCAAAAGACACCCAGTGAGTGTCGAAGTCTTCGTTCTCCTGTTGCGGTCGGTCCTCTGGGGCCGCTGTGGAATCTCCCGACGCGACAAACCAGAAGATGATCTTGAGCGTGCCCTTGGTGACACGCTGAGCGACGGCAATTGGTTCCGTCACGGACTTGGGGTGTGCTGAGACGTCGAGCGACGAAGGTATGGTGGCCAGGGTATCGATGGCGACAGGCAAAAGTTTGGCGTGCATTCCGGTTTCTTCAAAGGTCTCGCGTAGAGCCGTTTCCTCGAGGGTTTCGCCGACATCTTTGCGGCCCTTGGGAAGAAAGTATTCGCCCGTCTTTCGCCAAAAAATGAGAAGCACTTTCGACGCAGTGATGTCAATCGTCACAGTGCCACAGCTGATGGCAAAGCGGTCCGAGAAGTGAAGACTCTTGTCGGTCGAGGCCATGGCGACGTAATCAGTATTCTAGATCCTTTATGAGCGCGAGTGAATACGATGGAGGGATCCGGGAGTCAGCTTGCCTATGGGGTACGGTAGAGATTGCCTGACCTTTTTTTGTGATGGGAAATTTTATTTGCTGATGGAGGGGAGAGGGGGAAAGGGAAGGAAAGAGGGCAAGGCTTGCAGTGGCACGTGAAGCTGCTGCATATGTGGTTTGCCTGTACGGGTGTCACGATAGAGTATCCCACCGGAACTTCAGCATCCCCGCAAGATCGCCAGGGCGTTTACACTATAATAGCTATTTTTTAAAAAATTGATATAAAATTAAATGTTATAGTAAGATAAGGAATTTTAGAAAATAATGTTTTTCAAACTATAAAATATTACGTATCTAATAAATATTACATAATATTATTAATATTTAATAAGAAATACTAAGGTAAGTTAAAAAAGTAAAAAATATTAAGAGGGTATTTAGTTTTATTAGTATTTTATATAGTAATATAAGTATATTCTGAAGATATTTACAAAATTTATATTTAATTCTCTAATATTTTTTAAATCTTTTTTTCTTTTATTCTATTTTTAAATATTACTATTTTATTAAGAATTGCCGACGATCTTGGGGGGATGACGATGTTCTGGTGGGGTACTCTAATGCTCAAGCCACCCGTTGGACGGTAACGCAAACAGTCTAGAGGCAACTATCCGCGTCAAAATAAGCGTCAAAATGAGCGCCAATTCTGTGTATATCTGTAACTCTATTGGATCTATGGAGGTACCTATACTGTTCATTCTCGACCATCTTTGACTAGACCATTTGTTTTGGGCCAACTTTGCGCCCCAAAGGTTCGGTCTATGACTCCTCGCATGTCGACCGCCAGATCTACTCCAATGGCAAGGTTCAGAAAAAACAAGTCGGGACGTTTGGAAAAGTCCCGGGTTAGAATAGCACAGCAGAACAGGGCATGCGCCAGGACGCGCTCAGCAACACCGCCTTGGATTCCCAGCCCATTGATGTGCTCGAGGACAGGACAGACAATATACTCGAATTTGGTCCTAGCCATGGCTTTGTCCAGGAAGCTCGCATTGAGTTGGTATCGGACATGTATCCCAGTTGCTTCTACTGTCCATTCCACCGTCGGCGCCAGCGGGGGGGATATTGCTGTTGTACGTTGTGATAGATCAGGTCCCAGCATGTCCCCCCAGAGAGCGTTGCAGAAGCAGTCCAGGTAGATTGGCTTGACCATGTCCAGTACAATCGAGTGGTGCCCTGCCACCTCGTAGTCGATGTACCGCAAGGTAGGCGTGGTGGTTTGCGGCCCGGCGACCATGATGTTACCCCCATGCCCATCCCCCAGGCCGTACACGTTGGGCAGCAAGGAAAAGTGATCGGCGTCTGGATGGAGGAGCAATTCCGCCTGGTGCAGATAGTGCTGCAGGTTTTGGCGCCGCACATTGTTAACGTATATTGGCAGCTGGAGAAACTCGTCCAACGGGATTGTCGAGCCAGATCCGGAGGTGCGAAATACCGAAGAGGTGCTCGGGTAGAATTGTTTCAGGTGTTTGTTCACGTGTAGCCGGTGGAAAAAGTACTGGTGTATCCGGGCCTCTCGAGAACTGGCACGGCTGGGATGCCCGGCTGAGTAGGAGAGCTTGTAGGAGCGCATGACGTCGTGAGCTCTCTTCGCTTCGACGCTTAAGAGCCAACGATGGTCGAGAGCCCCCATCCTGTTCTCTTGTTTTGGCAACGGTGTTCCCGCAAGATAGCCAAAGCGTATGTCCAGGAGCGATTTTCCGTTGAAGTACTCATAGTATATCCGCTTTTGCGCACGATCGACTGCAATGATGCGTTGCAGGTCGCGCGCTCGATAGAGCCGCCGGAGCAGCGTAAGAGCATCCAGCTCGAAGACGAAACTCCCTGTAGTCTTGATAAAGACCTGGTGACGCGGTCCACCTCCCAGAAACTCCAGGTTGGCACGTTCGCACACTGAATTTCTCGAAAATGGGCTCTGGGCGCCTACTTTATCCGTGACCACGAACTGTGTGTGTGGTGGTGCTGGAGCGGCGCTGGTGTCCACTTTGGTCCTGGCGAAGCTTGAGTTGAGCGCTGGTTGTAGGGTCCATTCCGGCTTGTCGTAGGAGATGAATTCCACCGGTGAAGTTGTCATAGAGTCGCCCTGGTCTGGCCGGATGGTTAGAAAAGTGGTGCGTAGGCTTCTAGCTGGAAGTGAGCTTGGCGACGCGGCCGTTAACGGGCGAGTCGTTTCTCCCTCCAAGATTAGACGGTCCTTGAAAGCTTTCCCGAACGAGGCCCAGCGGTAGAGGGAGAAGGGGGCAGGGCCGAGAGTAGATGCCGTGTCGTTCTGGTGAAGCATGTGTCCCCACTTGGACCAAATGAGTTGTTTTAGTGAGGCTCCCAGGCCTCTCGAGCGTTCGAACACGCACCGCGAAGTCACGAGCAAGTCACATAGAATCCCAGGCCATGCTCTGGTTTCGGAACTCCGATCCGCAGGTACAGTGATTTGGATCAAGTCAAAGTCGGACATGATGTAGACGTTGTCGGTAACCTGGATGGGGGGGCAGACTAGAATCCCCGGACCCAGTGCACCCTGATTGAGCTGTATCGTGTGCAACGTCTTGTGTGACAAGACGCCGAGGTAACTGGATCCGGGATAGGAAACCGCAGCAGCGAGGTGCTCTTGAGACCATATCTTCATAGTCCGTTTGGAACCCGAGCGTGTCCATCCAGAGAAGCGCAAAACTTGCCAATCTAAAGTAGCTGCTAACTCCAGAGCTTCCTGTGAAGATATTCAGCTTCAGACCTTCAAGCGATTCTACTAACGACCTACCTCCCAAGATGCAGCCGAGCCGTCTTCTTCGACTACTCCGAGCAAATCGCAGAGGTCTGCTCTCCGTTCTCTTAGAAGAGAGATTATATCGATTTTCCTAGGAACAAATCCCACGCCATCCCAGTCTACATCACGTATTGACGCTTCAGCTAAGTTTGTCTTGTGGATGATGCTGCCTCCAAGAAAGATGGACAAGAACCCAAGTGATGATGGGTCAATACCCAACTGGAGGTATTCCGACATGGTGAAGGAGCTATGGCAAGGATAACGTTATCGGCCTCTACATGTACACTCGGAGCCACATTCTATATATCTACCCATTTTCGAGAGATATTCCGGCAGCAAGACTTTTTTTTTTTTTTTAAATCCCAAAACTTCTGGTAGGGGGGTGGCCCCGTACTCCACGTAACATTGATGTTTTAACCGCACCCCTCCCCGCTGTCAGCACAGCTGGCATCATAAGCACAGCTGGCATCATAGCTGGCATCATATGCATCTACGAGTGGGTTATGTTGCATTGAAGGTGCGGGACTTTAGGCATCAAGCTGGGAGCGAGTGGGGGGGTTACATGATTAATATTTTCGCATAATTGATTAACAACTTCAATCCTTATTGGCTTCTTAGTCCTGCGTATTTTCGACGTACATTACTAGAAGAAAGGACAGAGTATCTTAACGAGGAAGACGATTTCCTTCGCAAAAGACGACTGCTTTCGACGACGATAACGATAGAGCCCCAGAAAGATGGACATTATGCAGACTGAAGCCCTTGATCAGGTTCACGAAGGGTGCGAAGATGGGCACTCGAGGCTCTCATCCGGGGGTGAGGAAAGTAGCTCTATTGCCCATACTACCACGATCGATCAAGACAGGCTCATGGAACTCGCAAAGGAACTATTCCGTGGCACAGTCCCTCGGGCGCTTGATTTCGAGATTCTACTCCTGAAACGCAAGGAGGATACTCTACACCTACATCAGCGATTCTCTACCAACGCGGCTGAGAAAGAGTCCCAAGTGCTTGATCGGATTAGCGCAGCACGGAAGGAAGCTCGACAAGTATGTAGCTGCTGGGGGGGGAAGAGAGGGTTGGAGGCCTTGGGAGCAGATCCGTTCGAGTTAACGAACAACAGGTTGCTGCTTACACGTGTATATCCGAGTACATGTTTGCCGAGCCACGTATCGACAGGCATTTTTGCTATCAGCGCGTCGTTTCCGAAGCCCGTCTGCGAAAGCAGCCTCTGAAGCTCGTAGATGTGGGCTGCTGCGTCGGGACCGACATCAGGCAGCTTATCCACGATGGCTTCCCACCAGGCGTATGTTCCGAGGGACCTTGCCACTGTCGTTATAATCACTTACAAACCGGTGACGGAATAGGACATCACTGGGATCGATATTGAGAAACGTGAGCGCATACAGTAATCTCACCTCTCGCATGGTGCGCCCGCTCCTAATATCTCGCTCTTTCTAGGTTTCTTCACGATTGGTTTCGCCCTGTACAATCAAAATCGTACAGATTCCCCCACAACATTCGTGCAGGCCAACATCCTCGATCCCGACTTCACCCGACGATTCTCTCACCTAAAAGGGAAATTTGACTACGTGCATTCCGCAAACGTGATTCATCTCTTCGACTACGCAAGCCAGGTAGCCTTTCTACGGGCTCTGGCGTTTCTGGCCAAGCCCGGCGGCCTGGTGTGGGGCAGACAAGTTACAGAGACGGAAGATAGCCCAACACGATCGGTAAAGCTGGAGGGCAAAGGAGAAAGATTCACCCCCGTCGAGTTTATGCGCATGTGGACAACGGCAACTGGGTTCCAGGGGCCAGGCATAGAGTGGACAAGCCGGTTGGTCCCTTATGATGAGCTAAGGCTTCTTCAAGATTATAAGAAGAATACTTTGGAATGGTGTGTAACAATTCCGCTAGAATCTAGTTCGGTAGATATATGATGCATCACGTTGTGGATAGATTTATCACAGAACACGAGTATACTAATGGAATATACTGAGTTGATGACGATGATGGGATGCCTGTGTGACGGTCTATACCGTATAACATTGGCCTCGCTGACCCTTGGCCACCCTGGTGATCATTAACCTATTTCCAGACATGTTACCTGGATAATGATTGTTCGGTAACCTCTAGTTATCCCGATCAGAGCTACGGAACTCTGCTTTTCTTCTTTGTTTCCTTAGATTCATTGTATCGGCAAAGCGTATTCCCCTGCCGCATCTCTGCTATGTGACCATGAACGCTATTATGTACTTAACGCCATTGGCACCCCCCCCCCCCCCCCCCCCCCAGCTATGTACATACATATCTCTCATCACATTGCATTACTCTTATTTAACTCGACGAATACAATCATGGCCTCTTTCAAGACGAACCAGCACGCCAATACGACGACAGACGCCAGCAAGACGCTATTCAAGCTGGCCTCAGAGGCACATACCAAGCCTTTATGTGCTTGATTTCCTGTAGGTGAAGTATATATTTACATTAGACCTGGGAAGAGAAGCAATAATCTGACCCAATGTTATAATGCCAGAGAAATTCTCAAAGACCCATGAATTTGTTATGATCTATTAACATCAACAGTAGTCCTACAATTGCTTAGGTTAAATAGGTACACTGCATTATGTATCTATAGGCATTATAATCCCTGCAGATTGTTGGACCTGCCTGTCTTCATAAAGCCCCTCGCCCTGTTTGGTAACCGTATACCTAGTTCTTATATCTTCAAAGGAAAATTTCCCTCCACTATGGCTAGTATTGGTGGCAACCATATTTCGATCCGGTTACGGGTATTACACCCTATACTCGATAGTTGACCACAATTAGCTAGATTAAGGAATCCATGTTTTAATAAATTATTTGCTATAAGATTTCTTGCGTTAAGAGACGGCATCAACATAAAGAAGTCAAGATAATAGACATAAACAAACATCAGGGGTAGAAAAGAAAGACCTAACAATTGACAAATGGGAGCGATCAATGACACTAAGAGCTAGCTTTGCATTCTGACAACAAACACCCAGGGAAGTTATCTCTAGCGATTGCTTGATATAGATAGTATCAATCTCATAGTAGTCAGCAGATAAAAGTTTTACTGCCAAATTAAGCCATCATCACAAGCGACTGTCAGTTAAGAGGAGAATCCACTAACCATATATGTCAGCCAGACGAGATCATCACAAGTTTAAAGAACTGCATTATACTCACCCATCTACTAACATAGCCTCGCCGCTCATGAACGAGCTTATCCAAGAACTTAGATATATAATACTATTAGCGAGCTCTTCGGGCTGAGCAAATCGTTTCATCGCTGTTCGGTGCATTCCCTGATCAAGGATGTATTGCAATTCCGGGCCAATGCTTCCCATGACAGGAGTCATAGTGTAGCCTAGATAAATAGCATTAATCCGTATATTTTCCGAAGTATATTGGTTTGCATCCTGTTATAGTATATTAGAGATAGCATATATTTTTTCGATAAACATTTTCTTAAAGAGGAAGTGGAAGAGGGTTACTTGCGCTTTTGGTTAGTCCATAATGCCGCGTTTACCTAGGCACTAATATCAGCTTGTTGGACAACATCAGGAATCATCATCAAAAAGTAGTGATGAAATCTCGTCGCTGGAATCGGATAGAGTTCCCAAAGTATCAGCTTCTGGTGTAGCGCTTCTCGACGGAGTCATCGGCAGTGGGTTTGAAACAACTGTCTTTCTATGCGCCTTCCATTTGTGAAATGCCTTGTGGGCATCTTGAAGATGACGGCTTGTGCAGTTTGTAAGAGCAATAAACCTCTCCATTTTGTCATAGAGGATGTTGGCATCGATATGTTTTGTCATGGCTGAAAGCTCAGACAAAAGATTAGTGAATTCCTCTTGCTCCTTGGCTCTACGAGGCCGGCTTCCGCAACGAATCGTAGTCTCTTTCTTGAATCCTCGGCATGTATCGAAATTGAATTCGTTTGCATTTAGAAATGGTTTGATGCCTTCCCGTACGGAGGCAAGTTCCTCGAAAACTCGTGGGTCGATCGTGGTTGTCATGTTGACGCAGGATTGATTCTTAATCGCCATGATATGGTTCTCAACTGTAGAAAGAATCGGGGGAGCCTTAACTTTTAATACCTGGAAATGAGAGGCTGGGGGGCTATGCTGGTTAAGCAAGGGCTCGTATGCATGTTGGTTGTTGATTTCCCTAGCTCCGCATCTTGCCCATGTGTCCTGCTGTGAAGAAACAAGTCACGATAGGCTGACTCTATCGCGATATGTATCAGTTTAATGTAGCTAGTCAAAAAAAGGCAGCTCGTTTCAGAAAGCTGAGTGGTTAATCTATTCATAGATTCCACGTAGAACGGAAATCCCGTGTTGTTTGCGACGGCTTGTCCGTTGTTAATTGCTTCATATTCTTGTGGTGTTGAGAGAGTAGGCAAAACTTTTGATTCTGTGCCAAAAAAAACAAGAAGTCATTGCACCTTGCACTATAGAAACGACGTTTCTTGTTCATAATATGTTCGGGATTTAGCATGGCGCCAGATATCGCCCATGTAATGTTATTAGGTCGACATCACCGCCATCAAAACTCACGCATTACCATCGTTACTATTCCCTCGATTTTAGCATACTTCGTACTAGTATCCACTTGTCACTACGATGGAATCCTTGAACTGAAACTGTGGGAGATGAGAGTCTAAGGTAGGCTTCTGCATTTGACAACCCAATCTATAGCTTAGAATGTAAATATGTGTCTTACTTATAAATTTCAAGGTCCATCAGAGGCACGTGTCGACTATTTTGGTCTGGAACTGCAACAAATGGGGTGATTGTTGATTCACATTGATATGAATGCAATAAAGATGGGTTCTACTCTCTACTCACCATCAAAAACATGGTCATCATTAAATCAGGATACCAGGTTTAAACAGCGGAATGAAGACTCGGATTCGGCTGCAACGACAATCATCCCATGGCACTTGAGAAATTTCACTGGGAATGTTCAAAAAACGCCAACACTAATGCAGTGGCCGCAGCTTTATTTGACTCAAATACGCAGCCTCATTAAACATCTTCACATGGGAATATTCGGGACCTCCGCCAGCTCCAAACCTTTTTCCGTCTCCAAGGTAGACATTGCGGAATCTCGAGTGTGGCAACCCCGGATACGCGCCATGGTCAAATAGTCATAGGCGCACATGTTGGTCCACCCAGCTGTGCGTGCGTCCTTTGCGCAGCTGACCAAATATGAGAGATGAAGGGGACAATTAATAAATTTGTATATTAAAAAGCGCAACCTGTACGCTCAGACTTGGAAACCTTTGAAGCTGTCTGGAGCCGGGGTTTGAGAGCAGACCGGTGTGGTTTCAATCTTGTGGTCTGGAGGTGTAATGGATGGTTTGAAAAGTTGACGGAATCACGAGTTTCCACTACCTCTCTGGTCGTATGTGGCAGTGGTTTTTTTCCATCCATTCCAAATTGCTATTTATGGGTGAAAGTACCTATGTATGGATAACACCTCAATCGTGCAAAATATAGTTTCTGAGTGATGAATGGTTCATGTAAAGACCCTAAATCCGACACTCCGACATAAATGATATAATTCAGCTTACAAGACGCGTTCCAAATGAGCTAGGACCTGTCAATTGTTTGCCCCCCACTCCTCAGTGTATCTTGTTGGCGATACAATTTGTCAATCCAGTTCAACTCTATTCAGGTCTTTGGGAGATTTTGACAAATTTGGTAAATGTCCGTATCAATCTTGTCCAGACATCCATTACTGCGGCGCCTTGAGAGATGAAAGTCTATGGGCTGCGACTCTGCCTCATCTTTGCCGAAAGGGCTTGGCTCCATTCCTTGTTCCAGCTTCGCCATGCCAAACGAAAAGTATTTATGTTTAGATAGCAATGTGTGAGTATACTTATATCTTAGTGACTGTCCTCTCTGGCGACTCGCAAAGTACATATGCATTCACATTCTCCTTTGGGAGTTTTCAAGAATCCAGTCCAGGGAGAATAGACATCCATCGCATTGCAATCCTTCAGCCATGCTCATAATATTGTTCTTGGTGAAGGTACATGAAAAATATAGAGAGTCTAGACAAAGTTGCACTTTTCAGGCCCGCACATTTGTTCTCCATCCGGATTCTCCAGTTCAGCCAGTTCAGGGAACGCAAGGCTGTGGAAGTGCGCCCAGGCTCGAAGCGATTATACGGTATGCTTTGCCACTACCAATCAACTTGCGTACATTGATTGTGTTGCTTTGGTCACTCAATTTCACCAATCACAATCATCATTCGGTGCCCATCAAATCTGCCCAACAATGCCACAAATCTTGCCCACCCTGTTGCCTATTCCCTGTCGAATAAGAGATTTCCCATTCAATTTTCGGAGTCGCTCGTCAATTGTCTTGAGTATTTGTTCATTTTGAAGATTTCATTTAACCAAGTTAACGGTACTGTATCACGCTTGGGCTATTTTTTATCACTACTTATATCACTAACCACTTCACTCAGGCGAAAACAATTTATCCGCCAGGCATCATGGCAACGGTGTCTAATCCTGATGCCACCCAAATAGCATTCGCAGAAGCCGTCCGCGAGTTCAAATCGAAGCTGAAAAATGATCAATTATACGCAGAGATCCTAAAAACTAAGTCAATCGACGAGGTCTATGATGCAACAGACGCGCTTCAGGCTGAACAGGCAAAACAGGGACGACTTCGGCATCTCTCGAAAATCAAGCCATTTCTTGAAGGACTCCAAAGCTACGCAGATACCATCGATACATTCGTACAAGTCAAACCAGACGTTCTTGCACTCATTTGGGGTCCCATCAAAATGCTTATCCAATGGGCCGCCTCTCTAACACTGTCCATTGATGCTCTTGTCAATACTGCAGCTGAGATTGGTGAGCTGCTACCCGAATTCAAGCTCATGGCTGCCATGTTCGGCAACAATGAGCCAGTGAAGCTTGTGCTTGTCCTATTTTTTCAAGATATTCTTGACTTTTATGCCGTGGCTTTAAAGTTCTTTGGCTTGCCTCGTATGTTATGAACCGAGCACAGTATATAAAGTGAACTGACGAGAGAGCATTGCAGATTGGCGAGTCATGTTCGAGGCTCTATGGCCCTCTCAAAAGGAGAAAATTAAAATTGTCATGGATCATATCCAACGGCACACAGATTTAATGAGAAACAAAGTGCGCTTGGAGCACCTCAGGGAGGAGTATGAGCACAGACAGCGAGCTTTCGATCATTTTGAAGCAACACAGAAGAGTAATATGCGTCAAGAATATAACATTATCAAGACTGATGTCTCTCCAAGGTTTTACGATGCTGAGCTGTATCGGATACGAGGTCAGGTCTGTAAGGGGACTGGGAACTGGCTGAAGCAAGCCACTGATTTCAGGAAGTGGTTAGATGGGGACGATGATTCAAGGCGGATATTATGGCTCTGCGGTATTCCAGGAGCAGGTTCGCCATCCTAATTCTCTCGTTGCTACTGCATTGAAATGAGTTGACAAGTTCGATAGGAAAGACTCATCTAGCCGCTGTGGCAATCGACTTCGCCATATCGACTAGAACTATATTCGCTTTTCTCAGCCACGCTAACAGTAGCAGCACCACGGCCATATCAGTTGTACATTCTCTAATATTCCAGTTAGCTTCAGATGACGAAGATCTTCAGGCGATTTTCTGTGGTTCAAATAGAGAAAATCTTAAAAACAGCCTTGATGTCGCTATTGGCATTCTACAAACGCTGCTTAACTCCACCGGCCTCGTGAGCATAATTATTGACGGAGTTGATGAGATTGACCCCTCTGAACGACAGAAGCTACTCAAAAAGCTTTGTGAAATATCTACGGCCTACAAGAAGACTCTTATATTAATAAGCAGTCGGGGAGAACACGACATCTCAACAGTCCTGAGCCAAATATCATCAACAATTCGAGTGGATACACACAATGCTACAAGCATCCAAATATTTGTTGACGACTGGGCACAAACGTGGTTTTCAGCTCACGATTTTCTCCTCGAAGATAAATCCGAGATTGAAGATCTCCTCGCGCCGCTGTCTTCGAAAGCAAAAGGTATTCCCATATTTTTACATTGTTATTGGCCGTCGCTTACTCTCCAGCAGGGATGTTTCTTTACGCCAAGATCATGTTGCGCAGCATTGACGAGCTTGACAACTTGGATGAGATCCGCAACGAACTGAGAGTACTTCCTAAGGACCTAGATGAAGCGTATGGAAGCTCAACGGCTATACATAAACAGGAAGCTGATAAATCTATAGATATGGGAGACTGTTCGAAAAAATCGATCGCAAGTCCGGAATCGTGAAAAAGAAGTGCAGACTTATTCTCGGCTGGATCAGCTGCTCACCAACGCCTTTGACGCTGCTGGAACTAGAGCAAGCTTTGGTGGTGACGATCAGCGACACATCTAGAGTATCCTCGCCACTGAATTTTGTCCGCCTTTGTGGTCCCATTGTCGAAGTTGTGGGGGACAACATTCAGTTTGTACACTTCACGGTTAAAGAGTGAGTAGTTCCACTCCTGCCTCGACGATCTCGCTAACCTGCTTTTATAAAAGGTATGTTCACAGTCGACATAACACTGTGAACTACATTGATCGGACAGAGGCGACACTAAGCTTAGCGATTTGTTGCATACGTTACATGTGCCAGGATCACCACTCTCCCGATATCAGCAATGACGACCTCGAGGTCGGCATAAAGATGGGTAACTACAGATTGCACTACTATGCTACCGACACATGGCTGAACCTTGTTACCCAATACCTGCGCCTAAACCAGTCTATACCTTTATCAGAGGAGTTAATCACAACTCTATACAAGTTTTATAAGGAACGAGGCAAGCAAGAATCATGTAGCCGCAAAGAACTGAATGAACAACGATATCCACCAGAACTACAGAAGCTCGAATCTTGCTATCCAAAGCTCTTTTGTTTCCTTCGGAGTAATGCCCAATTCCAACAGAAATGCTCTATATCGCTTTACCATCTCGAACAAGGTAAAATGTCGTGTTTCTTCGTCCTCTCATTGTAAAGTAACATTTCCTCCAGGGCACTACTGGAGCAATCTTCACCCTATCACGACTTCAACTATTTCAATGAAGCTATATACGCAATTCAATCGATTTCAAGGTCAAACGCAGCATCGGACAAATCATAATTTGTGCTCCATTATAGAATGTCATCATGGCAAACGATTGTACAAATGTGGCATCTTTTCTTGCTCATTTCAGCGATATGGATTCGCCAGTCGACATCTCAGAGACTCCCACGAAAAGCGCCATGAGCTCCCTTGGAAATGCGACATTCCCAAGTGTCATCATTCGGAGACCGGGTTCCTTTCCAAGGCTATGAGAGATAGGCACTTGGATCTCCATCGAACAGAAGCCCACAATGGTTTGTCACATAAAGAGGCATTGTCAATCGACCTTGAATCCGACGAGTTTATACCTTTATTATTTGACCTTGTTTGCATTGATGATCTGGAGTCAGTTGAAAAGCTTTCACCTTTTTTCTACAGGCTCAAAGACAACGATTCAAACTATATTGAACTGCTAAAGATCCTTGGGCATTCTGGGTCTGCGGCAATGACTAAGTTGATTTACGAAAGAGGGATTCGGGAGCAACTCTCATATGCAAGCTGGTATGAACTCTTGTTAGCTTGCGTGGATGGCCAAAATATTGAGTCATTGAAGGTAGTGCTGTCAAGAAATGATGACCAATTTGCAAAAGAGTTCCAACATACTCATTGGCATAATTGTCAGAAGCTTATAGGACGTTCGATCGCAACTGGATCTATGGAGATGATTCAAGCAATTGAGGATTTTGTGAAAGAGGCTTATACGGAAACAAAATGGCCTCTACAGATGTCGTATCTGCACAAAAATACTATCAAAGCAACCGCAAGATGTCTGGAGCGAGAGGAATATCTAATCAAAGCATGGTCTACTCATGATATTGCTAACCCCCCATCTGCGGATCTTGCCAGAGCACTGAGGGATATTGCCCAGACAACATATTCAATACGCCTTTCCAGTGTGTTGCTACAATACGGTATAGACGTGGACGAAAAGCAGTGTGATGGAGCTCTTACGCCACTCCATTGGGCTACCCGCCATGACTGCGCTGAAGCAGCATACTTCATCAAATTTCTATTATATCAAGGAGCAGATCCAGACATTTGCGACCTAATAAGACAAGAGAAGTGTTCTAAGAATATATTTAAATGGCTCGGCATGGCTTGGGATGAATTAGTGGAGAAAGTAAAGGAGGATAGGGCAAGAGGGATTCAGTGGTCATGATAAGTGTTCTACTCTGACACTTAGACCAGGAAAGAAAGAGAATTGAAACTGTAATTTACTCCAGCTTTTAAAATTTCATCTCTCTTCCCTTGTGTATATTGAAGAGCCCAGGTATAAATCTATCTTCATCCCATACCAATATGTAGCCATGTCTCCAAATTTGAGATGGATCCTCAGATTTCAGACAGGCTGGTAACTTCTTCAACTAGTATTTATGAGCTGCATTTCGTGGAGAAAATAATTGGTTTGCAATCTTACTTTTCATCATTGATTATGGATATTTGTTTGAGAAATATCTTGAGAATTCAAGGATCGTCGAATGAGTCTGAGTTTTTCCTCTTGTATCCATTGCACGTACTTTTATATATAGCATCAGTATACACATACATCAGAGGCATTAATTAGTACGAGATAGAGGCAAAGCCGTCTCTTACCGTTTCTATCGTATCTTTCGTCATATATCTCGTTACTAAAACTTCTCGTGATTGTCCTATCCTATGCACCCGATCAAGAGCCTGAGCTTCGGCCATTGGATTCCAATGTGGCTCGAGCAGGTGTACGTTCTTGGCAGCCGTTAAATCGATTCTGTAGATGTACTGATCAGCACGGAATTGTAGTGCTACTGAAAGATTATAAAGAGACTCTGCAGAAACAGCTTACCCTTCAGGAGCAGTACCAATAGTTGCAAGCAATACAGTGCACTTGGGATCCAAAGTAAATTGGTTTATCGCTTTTGGTCGCCCCTCTAGACTTGACTGACCATCAATTCGTGCACAGACAAAGCCGCTGGCCTCGAGGCACTGCTGGGTCAAGTCTACCATTTAGCCCAAGAGGTGAAAACGACGCTATTCTTGAGCTCAGCTAACTTGTCATAGAATTGCACTTTGTTTCATCTTCTTTACCTTTTGATAGGATGCTTCGGGACGCTTTGATCCGAGATCAATTGCTCTTGACGGAGATTGTCAATCAAAGCTTTCAGCTTTGACGATTGTTGGGATGGTCGGGTTTAAACTGCCGAGTACGGTCTTGTCTGCCTTTATAACCAAGAATAGAGTTGTCCAAGTGTGGAAATTCAATATCGTGTCCCTTTTCGCCAGTACTGGTATAGCATCCTCTGCATATGAGTTGCTGGTGTGAAATGCCTAGATTGATCGAAGACCACCTCTCAGAGTTATCAATCCTCAGGTCGCATATGTCACATGCCTCTTGGAGCTCTTGGAAGTCTTGCCAGTCAATGGCTTCCTCGCCTGCCGCCTTCCACAGTTCAAGAGATGACCGTGGAAGAAGTTGCTCTCCGTGGTCGCAGATCAAGCGAAGGAAATTGATAAGCTTTAGGATATTGTTGCTTCTTCGCTCGTCGGAGTTTGGATATCCATTATTATGCTGATAAGGTCCTGATGCAATTTTGACAGCCTCTTTTTCATAAAAGCTATATAAGTTGCGGCCTCTCTGTGTCAATTCACCCCACGTCGTCTTCTCTCGTCGATCAGGTAATGGATGCGATAACTCAAGCAGCTTCTTTGTTCGTCGCAGGCAGGTGCCTTTAATCAACAGGCCAAGTCTTTTCAGGCCGTATGAATGCTTTTCTTTAATCGGCCTTGTGATCCAAAAATCGAATAGATGTTTCTTCATGAAGACAGGCACCCCGACAAAGCTTAGAAGTGCTGCAAAATCGTCGAGAGAGTTGTGAATTGGGGTCCCAGTTAAACACCAACGGTACCAAGCTTGGATATCGCAGGCCGCTTTAAAAGTTTGAGAATTTCTGATTCTGATATGATGTGCTATTATTATAATGTTAGCAAGATTCTCGTCGGTGGCTCGGCACTGCAATCATGTTTACACATGCCTTCGTCTAGAACGACGCGATACCATTGCGCACTAAATAAAGGGCCTTTCTCTTTCCAATCTCGCCTCATTGTTTCGTAAGTGGTAATGACTATATCGGGGTTTTGAAGGCTGTCCAGAATGCTTTTGCGGTCTGGGCCAAGATATATTGCAATATTTATCTTTCTTCGGTGAATGTGACTAGATCCTATCAATACTTGCATTATGAACGGGATGTTCGACGAACCTGTCGCATTGTTGCTGCCAAGTATTTATGGCTAGTTAGAGTCAGCACGTGCTTAAGAAATGGATGAAGCATGGTGTAACTTGCTTGACTTTGGTGTGACAACGAGTGTTGTCCAAGACCGTCCAGGCGGCGTCTCTCCACTCTCGATCTTTTGTGTCTCCATGATATCTAAAGAGGAACATATCAAAGACAGAATGCTAAGACTCTTCCCTAATCCCATCTCCTAAGCTATGTTTAGCGGGTATGATGCATGTAGTATTAGGCATTACTTCAGTTCACTCACATCTGCTAAGACGCCACCACGAGCGAGTTCTGGGCTTGCCTTTCGATTTCCCGTAATTTTATGACGATATCTTAAAAGTCAAAATCAGTAGCTGAACAGGAAGACAGTGGTATGGAGGTATATACTCCGTTGTTGAACCTAGCCCTGAAAATGGCTCCCATAATGATAAGAATCCATTTCTTTCACCTCCGGCTTCAATTGTAGTCAGCCATGCCAGGGCGAAAATCTGATGCCTGTTGGGATCAATATTTGTGCCCTTTCAGTGTTTGTATCAAACATACGAGTATTTCTTACTCTTTTAGCGTGGACTTGAGGCGACTACTCGGCTCTATATCTGTTTTTATAATAGTATCGCTAGCTTCATCAAAGAGTCTCATGAATTGCCATTTGTTTGATGCATTACGGAAATTCGCTTCTGATTTTGGGTCGCGCGTTGTGCCGGATCCTTCTTCTAGCGTTGGCATTTGGAGCCTGGACGAAGAAGATAACGAGGGTTGCAGTACTGCATACTGCTATCACACTCTGAAGGTGATGGATGTTGGAAATAGATACCAGCATCTCCAAGAATATTCCCGATGGTATACTGGTCAGTAGCAAGCCCGTACAAGACAGTTCAAACGGAGCAATTAACTGGCGGCTGGATACTTTTAGACACTGTCGTTGAAGTTTGCTTTCTCAAATCTGTCGGGATTACCAGTTTGGCGTCAGCTTTGATAGTAAAATCTCGAATAATCTTGGTCAAGACGGCATTATTGACCATTCCGGCGTATTTTTGCGATTCTTGAGCTCTAAGCTTTACCTTTGTTTCGCTGGCTTCGAGAATCACTGGAATCTGTGTAGCACCTTTATGACCTTCAAAGGAGGATATCGCCGATACAACGATCTATCAAATGTAATAACTGAGATTGAGATTCACAAATAGCGTGGGAGGCATAGCTTACAATGCCAAAACAAGTATCAGGCTCCGGTTGATCGATTACCGCTGGTACGTTGGCTGTTGTTGACTTGATGTCATCAGTACCGTGACAGACTGTAATGATAATAAGCCAAATGGTTAGAAAGCTGCACGTTAAGTTCGGCCTTTGAGGACTTGCTAGGCATTATGTCTTCCTGAATGGAACAGAGCGTTTCGTCACTACACGTATCCATTTCATCTTCGAACGAGAGTATATGAGCCGTTCCAGTCGTTCCAACAGCCCATTCGATGTCGAAATTTGTATGAATAGTATCTATTTGGGGTCTTTCTGAAGCTGATGAACTCCCAGCCTGATTATGCTGAGATTGACAGCAAGCACGTTTAGATGCCAAGTAAATGCTATCATCGAACTCATCTAGATCGAAACCACGTTTCGCTGTGAGAGTAGTGTGTAAATTCGGTA